GGCTCTACCATTTGAGCCATACCTCCAGCCTGATTTTTTGCTGGTTACTTTGGAGATGGGAGTCTAGTAGACTTCTCTGCCTCAAGCTGGCTTCAAACCTCAGTCCCCCTAAAACCTCTTGAGTAGGTAGGATTATAGACATGAGCCACCAGTGCCCGGCCTAAAGTCTACTTTTCTGCAAACACAAATTCAGTTTCTGTCAGTGGTAAACCCTTCCAATAGACTCTACTTCATTCCCAACGGCACAGCTCCTGTTTATAACGTACTTAAATAAGCAACGGAGACACCCAGGGACCTGTGTTCCCCACCACCCTAAGCCCGCCCCTTTCTCTGGATTGAAACAACTAAAGCAAAGATGTTTGAAGGAGGGATCCCTCCACCAGTAGCCCCAAACCTGAGGGGAAGGGGACTAAAACCTGGCCAGAAGGGGAGGCAGAAGCTGCAAGGGAAAGTCCTAGACGGAGGGAGGTGGCCTGATCTGGGGGAGGGAGGGTGTGCGTGTGGATGGAAGTCCAGGGTGCTGCAGAAGGGAGGGCCAGGGCATGATAACATTCAGGCTCTCACAAAGAACCCGCTTGCAGAACTGGCCGACAATGCAGCCCTTCATCCACTGCTTTTATGCAGAGGAGACGCAGAGACACACTATAGACACGCCGCAGCAGATGCACTGGGAAGACTGGTATTCTATGGGGGCGTATAAAAGGGGGAAGGGCATGTCACATATAAACTTAAAGTAAAAAGGGAGCCCAGATGTTGAATGCCTGCCATTTAAAAATAAACAGCTGTTAACTTCTGAAAAAAAAAACATAATAAAGCACACATTAATGCTAAAACTCAACAGATGAAACCAGAACAGAGGTGCTAAAACTTTTCTCCCTCTCACACACACAATTAGCCTCACTCAGAAGACAAGCACCAGTGAGATCTCTTCCAGCCTCAGTCAGGGACTACCCGTCAGTCTTTTGGTCCATCTAACCAGTCTTTCACTAAGGGCTGCAGACAGCATCTTCAGCATCCATTAACTCACTTACCGGCCTTGGCTCTCCAATAAAGGACACACAGCTTGGTAAATCCAATATCCTTTGAAGTCCCAGAATTCAGTCAATAATCTTGGCAGTAATTCTTACACATTTCTCACCCTTGGCACTTTACGGAGCCAAAAGGAGATAACTAAGAAATGTCAAGGACATAGAAATCTACTCAATTTTACCCAGCTACCCACATAGAAAATGCTGGAGACTCGAGGCAGCAGGTATCAGGAGGCAGAAGGTTAGTAATTGCCACAGATGAAACAATTGGAAGGTCTGACTATCTCATGACAACTCCTATGACGTATGCTTTTCACTAAATCCTTTCAAATCCAGCCCCTCTATAACTGTACAATGGAATTTTAGACCACTAAAATATGTTATACTAAATGAAAACAAAACAAACAACCCGATTGCAACAAGTGAGGGCATTAAACCCCTCTGATGTTAACTATTATGTATGTACATAAGAAGAATAACCTGGTAGCTCACACCTGTAATCCTAGCTACTGAGAAGGCTGAGATTTGACCACCTCAGTTCGAAGCCAGCCTGGGCAGGACAGGCTGTAAGATTCTTCTCTCCAACAAACTACTGAGAAATAGCTGGAAGTGGTGGTGTTGTGGCTCAAGTGGTAGACAACACTAGGCCTTGAGCAAAAGAAGCTAAGGGACAGCTCCCAGGCCCTGAGTTCAAGCCCCAGGACTGGCAAAAAAAGAAAAAAAGGAAAAAAAAGAACAAGAAGAAGAAGAGGAGGAGGAGGAGGTGGAGGAAGAAGGGGGAGAACCAAGGTCTTTCCTAGGAATTACGTTTTGCGTTCACTCTAAATGTTTACCATCTACCTAAGTTGACTGTTACTTCAAACGAAATAGCAATAGAAGCTATGTATGTGTTGCAGCAAGCTGTCCAGGGAGTTGACTGACATTTCAGGGCTGTCAGTCTGTCTGGTTTTCTCTTTCTGGCTCTCCACCTCCCTCTTTTTTTTCCTTTCACTCTCCTTTTCTGTGTTTTGCAGTTTTATTCTACTGCCATCTCCATTTCCTGCTTGCTCACAACCTAATTTGGAAGTCATCCCTCCCAAGCCAGAGGTGTGGTGGAAGTCTGTGGTGGATTCACCATCTGTGTACCATCATGGGTGTTCCTGGCCCCCAGAGCTGGGGGAACATCGTCCTGTGGAAATGAGGTGGAGCCTCCCAGGGCCACACTTCAACACCTGTACCCAAGCAAAAGAGCACAACACACACTGACAGTAACAGTCTCTTCCCTATAGGGTACTACTGATTTTAGCTCAAAGGTATGGCTCTAAGGCAGTCCACTCCAGAGTCAAGCAAGGGACCTGCTTACATTCTTCTTGAGCTGAACCCTGTCTCTCACTCCCTCTCTTTCACGAGACTCCTTCTGTATCCTTCTCAGTGCCATTTTCTCATGTTCTGCCATTCCCTCTTTTGTCTTGTGAAGAGCCAACTTTGGAAACTATATACTAGGTGTATACTGTGAGCAACCAAATGCGCCAAAAAAAGAGAAAGAAAAAAAAGAAGAGTACCAGCTCAGCTTTTCATTTTTAACTTTATCATGGTACAGAAGCCACTACAAATGTAAAGAACTTGCAGTCAAAACCTAATGTTGAATGAATGAATTCTGTTGGTCATGGGGCTTGAACTCGGGGCCTGGGCTCCATCCCTGAGCATTTTTGCTCAAAGCTAGCGATCTACCACTTTGAGTCTCAGTGCCACTTCCTGTTTTCTGGTGGTTTATTGAAGGTAAGGGTTTCTGGACTTTCCTGCCTGTGCTGGCTTTGAACTGTGAGCCTCGGATCTCAGCCTCCTAAGTAGCTAGAATTACAGGCATGAGCCACTGGCTCCCAGCTTGTTTAATAAGTTTTTGACATTTCCCCAGCAGAGAGCTAAGCTCTCAGATTAGGAGGGTAAACCACCAGCATTGCATGCTGTCCTATGTGGCTTAGCTCTTATGGTCAGCACACAAGTTACATTCATTGCATTTCAACTTAGGACGTTTTCAATTTATCCTGGGCTGATCAGGATGTAGTTTCATCCTAAGAGAAAGAGCTCCAGTAACAACACACAGACAAATACACACATACACACACCTACACATACACACCTACCTGCTTTCTTCTGTACAATAACCAGGACTCATGAGATCTTTAAAATCTCCTCTCTTCTTCTTCCTTTGTTTTTCTTTCTTTCTTTTTTAACTGATCCTGGGGCTTAAACTCTGGATCTGGGTGGTGTCCCTTAGCTTTTCCACCCAAGGCTGGCACTCTACCACTTGAGCCACTAGGCCACTTCTGATTTTTTTGGCAGTTAATTGGAAATAAAGAGTCTCACAGACTTTCATGCTTAAGCTGGCTTCAAACCAAGATCCTCAGATCTCAGCCTCTTGGGTAGCTAGGATTACAAGCATTGAGACACCAGTAGCCAGCAACTATGGTTTTATTTCTAAGGAACATCTTACTTATTTCAAATAAAAATGCAGAACATGGGCTGGGAGAGCGCTTGCCTTGCATGCTTGAGGCCCTGGGTTCAATTCCTCAGCACCACATAAGCAAAAAAGAAAAAAGCCGGAAGTGGCACTGTGACTCAAGTGCTAGCCTTGAGCTGAAGAGCTAAGGGACAGCGCCCAGGCCCAGAGTTCAGGCCCCACGACCAGACCCCCCCAAAAAAATGCAGAACATACACACACATTTATATAGGCTTCAGTACTATCTTCAGTGTCAGGTATTCACTAGGCTTTTTAAAACGTATCTAAGAGGGAGGGCACTACTGCATTTAACTGCCACGACCCTCAGATCTTTCTCTGGTAGAGTGTGTTATAGAATGTGTATAGAAATGTATCATTCAGCATGACATCCCTCAGCTGTATGTGGCCACCAAGCACTTCAACTGTGACTAACTCTTTGGAGGATGGAGCTCCAGGTCATTTTTGCAAGATGGAAGCAGATGGACGAATCACAGGCTTTCTAGTTCCACTTGGCCAATCACTTTTCATCACCGCTAAAACTTAGCACCGCTTACCTTACAGAGTGGCTTGGGAAGGAAGGGAGGTGAATCAGTGTACACATGAGCCCCTCTGACAGCAATGAGCTCCAGAAAGAACACAAGTCAGCCCTGTACCCCTTCCCATTCCTCCCCAAACTCATTCCACCTTTGACTCCTAGGATTTGACCTGCCCAAACACCCTTCCCAGACAGAAACCTTGTTGGAAAAATAGATGTCCAATTCTAGGAAGCCTCCATCCAAGAGGACCTCAAAAATGGAGTGGGAGACAGAGATGAAATGTGAATCCTTCTGATGTTCTGCAATTCCACTTATATGTCTCTATTAGAAGCCATGGCTTTCTCCAAAGGCGGCATCCAAAAGCGAACCTCCAGAAGTATAATGCTTAAAGAAACTCCTTGAAGCTGGGCACGTACACCTGTAATCCTAGCTACTCAGAAAACTGTGATCTGAGGATCCTGGTTCAAAGCCAGCCTGACTAGAAAAGTCCATGAAACTCTTTATCTCCAACGAAGCAGCACAAAGCCAGAAGCTGAGTTGTGGCTCAAGTGGCAGAGCACCAGCCTTGAGTGAAAAAGCTAAAGGTGAGTGGCCTGGCCCTGACTTGAAGGCCCAATATACCGGAGATGGGGAGAAGGGAGGGAGGGAGACAGGAAGGAAGGAAGGAAGGAAGGAAGGAAGGAAGGAAGGAAGGAAGGAAGGAAGGAAGGAAGGAAGGAAGGAAGGAAGGTGATGAGGGAGAGGAAAGGAGGGGAGGGAGGGGCAGGGAGGGGAGGAGAGGGAAGGAGAGGAAGAGGGAGAGGGAGAGAGAAGAGAGAGAGACAGAGAGGAGGGTGAGGAGGGGAAAGGAGGGAAGGGAAAGGTCCTTGAAGCTCAGGCAGCTTTTATGGCTACAGCCCTTCTTCCTCCCTCGTGCTACCCGCCCTCCCGGCCCCCCCCTGCCCTCCCCCCCCTTACCTGAAGCAGCGCTGGCCGGGGCGCTGGCTGGCGCGGGCTGGGAGGAGCTGCTGCTGCTGCTGCTCTCGCCCAGGAGACACTGGTTGCCGCCGTTGTTCTCTCTCTTGACCAGCAGCTCGGCCGCGCTGGGCAGTGGAATGGGGTGGCTGATGCCCAGTTCTTCCTCCTGTGCCTGCTGCCTTCTCAGGGCCACCTGGGAGCACAGGACAAGGAGTCACCTCCAGCATACATGGACCTCACCTGAGCGACTCTGCTAGCACACCGGCACCACGCTTTCCTAGTTCTGCAGGTGAATGACGGCTGAGCATCCTCAGTTCTCTCATTTCTGTGGCCCATTTTGGCCAGGTTATTACGCTATGCAGCCAGAGCTAGAAAATGGTTTAGAATCAGAAGTACCTGTTAAACAAACAAGCCTATCAGTACACCAGAAAGGAAGGGGGACCATGGTGGATCTGTGAAAACTGTGCATCAGCCAAGGGAGAGCTTTCAATCCCAATATTAAAACTAAGTGTAGTAGTGCACACCTGTAAACCCAGCATTTGGAGCCCGAGGCAGGAGGATCTGGAGTTTGAGACCAGCCTGACTACACAGTATTATCAAGGCCAGGATGTTACACAGTGAGCCCTATCTCAAAGACAGACACAGACCCACAGACCCACAGACCCACAGACACACACACACACACACACACACACACACACACACACACACACACACACACGGGAAAAGAGGGGAAAGAAGGGAGGAGAGAGAAGTGATAGAAAGGGAGTACTGTTGGATTAGGACAGAATTGGATCATTCATTCAATCATTCCACACAGAAATACAAGGGCACTGTACTAAGAAGCTGGGCCATCAAAATTAGACTACAGTCCAAGGTTCTTATGCCTCAAAAGGAGAAAAATGGAAGTAAGCAGGCATGCAACTACAAGACAATAATGGAGAGGCATTATGAAACCCTAGAGAAAGAAGTTCAGACAGAAATATCACAGAGGCTAGGCTGGAATGTGGCTTAGTGGTAAAGTGCCTCCATAGCATGCCTGAAGCCCTGGGTTTGATTCCTTAGTACCACATAAACAGAAAAAAGCCGAAAGTGGTGCTGTGGCTCAAGTGGTAGAGTGCTAGCCTTGAGCAAAAGATGCTCAGGGACAGTGCCCAGACCTTGAGTTCAAGTCTCAGGACTGGGAAGGAAGGAAAGAAGGAAGGCAGGAAGGCAGAAGAGAAAGAGAGAGGAGGGAGGGAAGGGAAGGAAGGAAAGAAAAGAGAGACAGGGGGAGAGAGAGGGAGGGAGGAAGGGATGAAAGGAAGATCAAGAGAGGAGGAGAAAGAGATCAAAAAAAGAAAGGAAGAAGAAAAGAGAGAAAAGAAAGGAAAAGAGAACTATCATTAATATGTAAGAATCAGCCAAGGCAAGATTTAAACAGAACATTGAAGAATATGTATTGAGGAGGACTTTGACAGGTAGGAGAAAGGGAAAGAAGAATCTGATAGTAGATCTGCAGGAAAGACAGGGCTGCTTGGGAAACCCTCAAGAGTCCAGGTTTCCAGAGCTGGAAGGATCGAGGTGTGGAGAAGCAGATGGCTAGAAGTGAGAGGAGAGGCAATAGACAAGACCAGGGGCCTGGGGCAAGGAGAAAGGGAGAGGAGATCTTTTGAGTGTGATCTTGTGTGTGATCTTTTGGTCAGGAATAGAAAGCCACTACTGGGACAGAGGGGGGAAAACTTGACATACTTATTAGAAAGTCTTCTCTTTATCCTCTTTTAAATAACATTGTTAAAAGTTGAAGGGGGAAAAAGGCTTAAAGAAAATACTAGATGTAACAAAAGGAGTTTCTACTGAAATTGACCATCAGTGCTCAAGAGAAACGGGAAAATGTCTGCAGTACCTCAGAGACTCAGAGACAAGCTGAGACTTAGGTACATTAGAAATGGGACTGTATAATGTTTTAGAAAAACTGTAGTCCAGAGCTAGCTGGTTAGGTTGAAGATAATTTTTACTTTCATAAGCAAAGGGGTCTTCAACTAAAAAAAATCAAATAATAAACTCAAGCAATTATTCAAGACTATGGAAGTGAAGCTGTGGCTCAAATGGTAGAGCATCATCAGTCTTGAAAGAAAAAGCAAAGTAAGGAACAGCACCTAGACCCTGAGTTCAAGCCCCCAAACTGACATACTGGCGCGCGCGCGCACACACACACACACAACTTAAAAAATACTTAATTCTTCATTTTTTTCTGTGTTTAACCAAGAGGCTTTAAAACAAAGTATTAATGACTTTGACCAGAAATAAGGGTTTTTAAAGAAGTTCAAACACTAAAGTATACCCCGACTCACACAAACTTCATATACACACAAAATGCACAAGTTCTGCCATAAACTCAAAACATTGATTATTCAAAGGTTAGAAAAGTTTATTTAAGCAAAAAGAGGACAGTTGGTTAAAAATCAATTGTTTTATGTGCAAGATCAATTTCAGGCTACTTTAGGGTGATTAAAAAGTAGTCGTGTGGATTTTTATGGGTTTTGTGTCTGTGTGTGCCTTAGCCCAGCTATGTTATTTTAAATGTGGACTTTTTACGGGTTGGTTCCTCTAACACAAGTACAAAACTTAGGGTTTGTGGGAAATCCTCCAGTGTCACAAGGAAAAAACAACCTTGAGTTGTTCTCATTTCAGCAGTCTCTTCAAAGTTTGTCCCTTTAGTAAATCAAGATTATTCAAAATTAATGTTAAGTCTAGACCAAACATTTTATTACAATTTGTGGAAATTTCCATCCTGTTAATACGGTTCACATTACACACGTAAGCCAGCTCCTGTGTTCATAGTATTTCTTATCTACCAGTTTAAGTCAGAAGTTCCTCCTGTTTGTTTTAAGTACTCTAAATGTGTCAAGTTCTAATGTGACATCAGTGTATTTTTTTTTCTTACTATTATCCAGGCTGAAGCCTATGAAGGAACTGGAGAAACTGATTTTTTGACTGCCCTTCCAATATGCTTATGTGATTTAAAAACACCTTTTTAAAAACCGATGCATGTGCAAAAAATATAATCTTTAAGCTTCTGTGCAGCTCTACCCACCCTCTAAAGCCACCCCCAAAAGAAGATATTCACACAGTCCTGATCCCAAGTTGAACATGGCTAACAAACTATTCCTTCAGTTAACTTTTCATATTATAGATCCCGTCTCAAAAAGATGAAGCTGCTTTTAGCAGGAAAGAATGCACATCACTGCCTTCTTTATTAAAAAAATCATTTTTTTTTAGAATAACCATGGCATGAACTATCTCCGTGAAGAGGCCAAATTACTAGCCAGCTGGTTCAAGCGATGAAAAACAAAAGTGGACCAAAACTTCAAACCTGCCCACGTCCCCAGCGCGTGCAAACCTTTCTTTATTGCAGTGGCTGCAGACTTTATCTTTAATATATACATTTATTGCAAACATGCTGTACGGAGGGGTTACAGGCACACGGAGCAGGGAAATGAGTACATTTCGTAGCGGGATGCAGACTTTTAAACGCCAATAAGTCCAAGGCGCTCAAAATGGCCGGGACGCCAAATGCGCCCCAGGCCGCGCCCCGCTGCGCCCGCGCGCATCACCCGCGCCCACCGCGGCCTGTCTCAACCGCCCGCCACCGGGCTCAGCGCAGCAGACCTCCCTCCCTCCACCCAGGCCGGGCAGCCCACGGATCCCCGAGAGTCCGCCTTATCTAATAAATGCAGCTCAGCACAAGGAGGGGGGCATCAGGCACCCCGAAAGTCTCAGGTTTATAAACGGGATTGGGAATCCAGGGCCCCCACTCCGTGCCACCCGCTCCAGCAGAGCCGACCGCCCCCTCTCAGAGGCCAAGGGGCAGGGGCTAGGATGTGGGGGGGACTGCCATAGGCGCGGACCCCGCAACTCTTCCCACTCCTGACCCAGGGTCAGAGATCGTGGGAACTCCTGGAGGGGAAGAACCCCGCAATGCTCTGCTTGGCAAACGGGGAGCCGGTGTCTATGTGGAGCGCGAGCGAGACGCGGGGACAGGGGGTCAGCCCAGCGACCCCCGCGATTCTGCTCGTGGGACTCCCCATCTTAAGAACGACCCCCCACCCCGCAGCTCTGCGGGAAGGTGGGGTTGGAGCGCGCGGGGGACCCGGAGCCGCGCGCCCTCGGCCAGTCTTTCCCGGACAGAGTGCTCCTTCGCAGTACATGCGAACCCCGAAACGCTCCTAGAAATGGGGACCCGGGATCCCGAATGGGGGAAACCCCGCATCGTTTACCCCGAGGACGGACGGGCGGGAACTGGGACGCGTCCGCACCCACGTGGCTGGGAAAAGCCTTGGCCCGAGCGCGCGCGCCCGGCGACGGCCGGCCGACCCCGCCGCGTCCCTCCCCGGCCCGGGCCCCAGAGATCCCCGACGCCCGGGTCGCCCCGCGACCCCCGCCACTCACCTGCGCGGCCATCACGCGCTGCCTCTCGGCGATCAGGTTGCATTTCTTGCACTGGCAATCCCGCCACATGCAGAAGCGCTTGTGGCCCTTGAGCGGCGACGCGTAGCCGTGATTCCGGCAGCGAGCGCACTTGGGCAGCCGCGGCGATTTCTTGCTCCCGGAGCCCACGCCCGACGCCCCGGAGCCCGAGCCGCCGCCGCCGCCCCCGGCCGCGGCGAGCAGCGCCCCGGAGCCTTTGCTGTAGCCGCCCGCTTTGCCCTGCGGCGGGGCCCCGGGGGCGTGCGGCGTCTCCGACGGGGCCGACGGTTTGCTGAACGTATCCTCGTTGGGCATGGTGCGCCCCTTCTTTAAAAAACAAACAAAAACAAGAGCGCCAAGCCTCTTTTCGGGGGTGCCGGTCGCGCTTGGAACAGGGGGGGAAACACCACCCAACTGACCGAGGAGGAGGACGCGCAGGAGGAGGAGGAGGAGGTGCCGGGAGGCGTGCGCGCCGCCGCCGGAGGTACGGCCCGGAGTGGCGAGGTCGGGGACACGCAGCGTCGGGGGTGGGGTGGGGGTGGGGGGGTTGTGTCCTTTTTTTTTTTTTTTTTTTGGCGCGCGCGGCCACAGAACTTTTGGATACTTTTCCCGAACGTTCCCCGGGGATTGCAGAGGCGGGAGACTGCGCGGCCACGCCCCCCCCGTCCTCTCCCCACCCCCCACCCCAACTCCAGCCGAGGCTCTCTCGCTCGCTCTCGGGGGTCCTGTTGCTACTTTTACACCACAGCTGCTGGCAGACATCCCCGCGGGGGGCCGGGGGGCGCTGGCTGATGGTGGGTGGCTGCAAATGCGCGCGCGCGCAAGGTGCAAGAGCCGGAGACCCCCACCCCCACCCCCACCCCACCTCACTCCCTCCCCCCAACACACACACACCCTGCTAGAACTCCGTGTACCCCGGAATGCTGGCCTCCCCAGGGCGCGGGAGTCTGGCACGCACGCCCGCTGTGGCGGGGCGATGGGGGCGCAGACCACCCAATGGGGGCGTCTAGCTCCCTTCCCCCTCCACACCCGCCCATCTCCCTTAGGGAGCAGGGCGCCTTCTCCACGTTCCCTAGACGTTGGCCAGCAGGCAACTGGGAAAGTGGTTTTCTTTTCTTGTGTGGAATTTAAGTGGAAAATAAGCCCTCCCTCCCACCCCTAAAATAAAAGTCAAAGGATTAGGGGTTTACTGCCTCCTATTTATCCTCCTCCGAGCACCTGTGTTCGTCTGCTGGCAATATTTTCTACCTCCTAAGCTCCAAGTGATTTTTTTCCAGCCCCGCAAACACATAGTTACTTCTCTGTGCAGGTGCACACCGCGCCTTTGCCTCTTAGAGTCCGCAGGCATGTGCAGCTCCGGGGTTTAACGCACTGACTTTGGAGCATGGGGTAGTGAGGGCGCACATGTAATTCCAGCCCCGGGAAGCAGAGGCAGGAGGGTCTCTGATAAAGAAACCCGGTAAACAAAACAGCACACCCTGAATTTCGGCGAGGGATTACAGAGATAGAGACATTTATTAAAATCCATTCTGTTTTTCTGTGCACAAATGAATGAAACTGCAACCTCTACCCCAGCTAGTCATAGTATATATGTTTTGGGGGGGGAGGAGTGTCCCACAGGGGCCCACCCTGACCCCCCCTCTCCAAACACACACACAAGCCAGGTCTGTCTCCTCTCCCTACGTGTGCACAGCAGATCCATCCCCAAGCCTACAGACTCATCTGCACAGCCACAAGCCTCCTCACACCCAGCCTTTACCTCAAGCCTGAATCCTTGCCCCAAGTTTGTTCAGTATTTGAGCCCCAGGCTTCTGCATTGTTTTCCACTTGGAAAACAAAAAATTGAAGACCTCAAGCAAGTCTTAGAGCACTTGGAATGCTGTTCCAAGGCATTGCTTAGCCTTTTTAAATGTTGTTACTAGGGCTTCAACTCAGAGCTTGGGTCCTGTCCCTTAGCTTTTTTGCTCAAGGCTGGCATTCTTTCCACTTGAACCACAGTTCTACTTATGGCTTTTCAGTGTTTAATAATTGGAGATAAGAGTCTCATGGACTTTTCTGCCAATGCTGACTTTGTACTGGGATCTTCAGATCTTAGCCTTGTGAGTAGCTAAGATACAGGCTTGAGACACAAACCTTAGACTCTTCTACCTACAAGCTTAGTTAGTCTCCTTATTCAGCTCCACAAGCCTCTGTTCATTGTTATTTCTCTTAACCTTGTAATGACAATTGTCCTACTAGGACTTTTTTCTTACCCCCTCATCCTCCCACCCCCGCTTTTCATCAGCCTGGATATTTGCCTTCTACATTCTGGACTACAGCTTTAGGAGTTCTCCAAAAGTAGCTTGGAAGAGCTGTACACTGGCAGGCTTTTTCATTGGTTTGCCTCATTCAGCACAAATCTGCCTTTCCCCTTTTGTTCTTGAGGTCCCTCCCATAGACGCCTTTCTTTCAGCGTGGATTTTCTCCATTAGTGTTTATCATCTCAAAATTATTTCCCTAAAAAGCTTTACATAATACCTCATACCCTACCCATGAAGCTAGTGAAGCATTATTTCTGAACATCAGAATGCAACTAGCCATACATTTTAAAACCTCTTCAGAGGTAACCCCTATTTTCTGCTGACATATCCCATCTCTTAAATCCTCTCGTTAATATGTGTGTGTGTGTGTGTGTGTGTGTGTGTGTGTATTGCTAGATACCAGTGGCTCATGTGTGTAATCCTAGCTACTCAAGAGGCTGAGATCTGAGGATCACAGTTCAAAAACAGCCCAGGCAGGAAAGTCCATGAGACTCATCTCCAATAAACTACTCAGAAAAAGCCAGAAGTGGTACTATAGCTCAAATGGTAGAGTGCTACCTTTGAGCACAAAGAGGCTTAGGGGCAGCACCTAGGCCCTGAGTTCAAGCCCCAGGACAGGCATGCATAAACACATATATATCACATACACACATATATATATATATACATACATACATACATATCAGTTGATATTGGCCTTTTCAACCAGCTTAAACTGAGGACCTTATGCATTCACTTAGTCTATAGTCTTGCTGTTGGTGCTCTACCATTTGGGCCATACCTCCAGTCAGCTTTTTGCCAGTTATCTGGAGATGGACTCTGGAAAATGTTTCTGCCTGGGCTGGCTTTGAACTGCAATCCTCTTGAATAATGATTATATGAGTCACCAGAACCAGGTCACTGTTTGCTTTTTTAAAAAATTGACACAGCCTGTAATCCTAGCTACTCAGGAGGCTGAGATCTGAGGATCGCGGTTCAAAACCAGCCTGAGCAGGAAAGACCGTGAGACTTCTATCTCCAATAAACCACCAAAAAAACGGAAGTAGCGCTGTAGCTCAAGTGGTAGAGCGCTAGCCTTGAGCTGAAGAGCTGAGGGCTAGCGCCTAGGCCCAGAATTCAAGCCCCACAACCGACACACATACACAAAAAAATATTGACACTTTAACATATAAACAAGCTAGTGTAGATCCAAGACCCAGTCTACTTGTAGAAAACAAAATTGATGCCACACAGGGCTCAAGCCTGGTGTTTGTAAAGCAGAGATCAGAAGAAACATGCTTCAAGACCAGCTCAGGAAAATCTTTCAGGAGACTCCAGCTTCACTAATGGTATGGCCCAATGGCACAAACCTATCATCCTAGGGACACAGGGAAGCACAAAGAGGAGGAATAAGTCCAGGTAGACCTAGGCAGAAAACCAAACCTTATCTCCAAAAAATCCCAAAAACTGGGGGAGAGCAAGGGAAGGGGTGACATGGTCCAAAAAGGAATTATTGGGATTTGGCTTGTTTGATTGTTTTTGTACAGTAGTGGGATTTGACCTCAGGTTCTTGTACTTTCTAGGCAAATGCTCTACCACTAAAGGCATGCCGCCAGACTTTTCTTGAGCTGGTCTTTTGTGGTGGGGCCTGAACTCTGGGCCTGGGTGCTGTGCCTCAGCTCTTCAGCTGAACGCTAGCACTCTACCACTTGAGCCACAGTGCCACTTCTGGCTTTTTCTGCGTATGTGGTGCTAAGGAATTGAGCCCAGGGCCTCATGCATGCAAGGCAAGCACTCTGCCACTGGGCCACCTTTGCAGCCCCAAGCTGGTCATTTTTGAGAGAATGTCTTGCTTCCTGCCTGGCACAAGATCCACCTATTTTAGGCTTCCTGTTGTCTTGTGATGATGGATGCAGTTGTGCATCTAGCTCATGAACTTTTCTACCCAGGGTGGCATCAAACTGATTCTCTGGACCTCATTCTCCCCTCACAAGTAGGTAAGATTATAGCTATGAGTCACCAGTGCTCAGCCTCACTAAATGTTTTGAACCCATTAGTCACATTAGTCTCCTTTCTTCCTGTTCCTCTTTCCAGAAACCAAAAGCCAAAAAGGTAAGGACCAAAGGATAATATAGAGAAATTGGTAACAAATACTTCCAAAAATACACTGGTAAGTGAGGAGAAAAGACCAGTCCTAAAACAAGTCTTAAAAGTAGCTAAATATAGCCACTGCTGGTGGCTCATCCCTGTAATCTTAGCTACTCAGGAAGCTGAGATCTGTGGATCACAGTTCAAAGCCAGACTGGGCAGGAAAATCCTTGAACCTCTTATCTCTAATTAACCACGAGAAAATCAGAAGTGGAGTTGTGACTCAAAGTGGTAGAGCACTAACCTTGAGTAAAAGATCTCAGGGACAGCACCCAGGCCTTCAGTTCAAGCCACATAACAAAGAAACAAACAAAAAAAAAGTAGCTATGTCTTAGATAACTTCTTAGACCCAAAGCATAGGTGATGAAAGGAAAAAAAAGAAAACTAATTGGACTCCAGTGGCTCATGCCTGTAATCCTAGCTACCAATAGTCTGAGATCTGGACAATTGAAATTTGAGGACAGCTTGGGCAGAAAAGTTCTCAAGATTTTAATCTCCAAAAGAACAAAAAGCCAGGCTGGAGGCATGGCTCAAATGGTTGAATGCCAGCCTAGCAACCAAGATGAGTAAGCATGAGGCCAAGTTCAAATCCCAGTATCACAAAAAGGAAGGGAGGGAAAGAGAAAGGGAGAGAGTAAGCTGGTGGCTTATTCCTGTTATCCTAGCTACTCAGAAGGCTGAATCCTCACTGAGAATTGTGGTACCATACCAGCGTAAACAAACCTAAGATTAGACTAGTACTCTAGGCTAGTGCTCTACCACTTGAGCCATAGTACCACTTCCGGTTTTCTGGTGGTTCATTGGAGATAAGGGTCTCCTGGACTTTCCTGCCTGGGCTGACTTTGAACTGCAATCCTCAGATCTCAGCCTCGTGAGTAGCTAGGATTA